GAAGGGGGGAGGGGGGTAAGTGGGGGTGGTGACACATCACTGTCAGGAAGAAGAGGAGGAGGAGGAAAAGTATTAGCATATTTTTTGGCGCGGTGGTGAAGCCGGTGCGAAAGGGTTGAGGTAGGGGTGCGGCGCGGTGTTGCGCTGCGCAGAGCCCTGGTGGTGGTGGCGCGAGGCTCTCTCACGGGACGAAGAATGCGAGCGGGAGGAAGAAATATAATGGACGCAGCCAGTCGCATTCTTTTGCGGGGGAGTGTGTGTTTCAGGCTCGAAATTCACACGCCCCAAATGCATGTTATGAGTGTGAGCGCAGAGCGTGGGTGTGTGTGTGAGAGAGGAGGACAGAATGAGTGAGGGAGAGTGCGGATGGGAATAAGAGAGGGGGCGGGGGGAGCGAGAGAGAGGGAGAGAGAGAGAGAGAGAGAGAGAGAGAGAGAGAGATGATGAGGATGATAGAGATAAAGAGACTTGGGGTCCACTTACCGGCAGACACCTTTTAGCGTCGTGCGCTACGCCCCGCCACGGCGCTTGGATACGCCCCCATCCTCCGCACCGCGTCACCGGGATCAGCAGAAATCCTCATTATACCGAAATGCTGTGCAGCGGCAGTCCCGTCCCGGGCCGAGAGGTGAAATATGAAAAATGCTGCCGCCCGCGCCGCTGCTGTGGGGGAAATGCACGGCGTGCACTTACTTTGCGCTCAGCTGCGCTCAGCTACGCTCCGCCACCACCTCGAGGGCCCCGGCGGGGTGCTCGGCGGGGCCGTCGAAGGTGTTGAAAAAATACTTGGCGAACAAAAGGGAGCGGCGATTTCCAGGGGCATTGTCTTGCAGGCGTCATTCCTCGCGGAGTCAGCACCAGCAGAGAAAGGGAGAGAGGAGAGAGGCAGAGTGAGTGAGACGGGGGAGGGAGGTGGTGAGCGAGAAAGTCCTGTGCTGGCTCAAAGGAGTTGTAAATGCCGGAGACCAAGCCGTGAGGGAGTGCGGGGGCCGGCGGCACCATGACAAAGGAGAGAGCGAGAGAGGCGAGAGAAAGAGAGAGCCAGGCCGGGTTCTCAGGTGCACTCCGCACTCGCTATGTAAGGATGAAGCAGCAGCAGCAGCCGCCGCCCCGGCTGGCAGGAGGATCTTGAGGGATTTTCCTTTTCTCCCCCTCAGGTTTTGATCCGCAGCCGGTTGGCAATACAGATCACGCGCGCCCGGATGGAAGTGGGGCGCGCAGGACACGGGCACAGCTGTTGGGGAAGATTTTATGCGTTATCCTTGTGCGAGAAAAAAAGGGGGAAAGATCTTCTTTAGGTAGGACATGTGGGATTTATTTTGAAAAGCGGTATATGTGTATCGGGGGAGGCGAGTTTTCTGAGTGCTCGCTTCTTTTAGTTTTGACTGTAGGGGACACGGGGCACGGGACACTCAGGTGTTGAAAACCATGAGGACGAGCACCCACACCTCCTACTACACCACCGCCCTCCAACACATCCTCTTTTCCGAGCCTCCCTCTCTCTCTCTCGCACACTCCGTTGTCAAGCACCAAAACTCTTCTCACCCGCCCATCCATCTGTCTCTCTCCCTCCTCCTCCACTTTTTTGCACATTACATATTTTTATTTTGTTTTCTGACACCCCTGCCCGCCCACGCCGTGTGTGATGAGGGTGTTGCCACCCCCGGTTCTCTCTTCTTCACTCTCCCTCTTGTGTGTGTGTGTGTGTGTGTGTGTGTGTGTGTGTGTGTGTGTTTGTTTCTTTTCACACCTCTCGCTCATTTGCGCGGACCCTCTCCTCACACTGGTGGTTCCACGGCTGCGTTCGCTTGTTTACGAACATTCCTGCTCCTGCTGGGACACAGCAAAGAAACTGAACCCAGGGAACGCTGTTCCGATATAAATCAAGTTTTCAGCACACACTCCTTAGTCTTGAAACTGTACTCTCATTAGAGGTGTTTACCACACTGGAAAAACTAACGTGACGCGACCAAACCAGGTAACGTTTGGTGATGCAACCAGTTTGTGATGGCCCTTTCCTTTTGCATGGGGTAGGTCACGTCAGGAAACGTTACCGGTCTTGGTCACATGATGAAACGTTACCATGGTAACATTAGTTTTTCCAGTGCAGTTAAGCACATGACTTATCTGTGTTGTGTTTTGTTCTTGATCTTGCGGATTTTCAGGTCCCAGTTGTGTACTATTAGGTGCATTGAATATATGCTGCAGCAGCAAATAAAACATACTTCAGCAGTTGCACAAACGCATGCAGAACGCATAGCCAGCCTTGAACATGTGTGATGAGAAAGAAAGAGGCAAACAGAAAAGTAGCAGGTTAACGAGGAAGAGACACAGCGAAAGTAGGGAAAAGGGAGGGGGGGGGTGCAAAGCGACCTTCGCCTCACCAGACGTTGAACCCTGTTGAGAGGAGTTGAGACAACTTTTTGAAGAGGACGCTCCAATGTGTATGTGTCA